CATTCTACTGTTGCGTGTATTGAGGTTTGCCCTATATTACTTATATCAGCAGCTAATTTTACAAAATTGGCATTATACTCTTTATTATTAGATTTAAATAATTTGCTGGCTGCACGTTGAAATTGAGCAGGACAAATTTGTTTGGCTTTACGAATAGCAGATCGAAATTTTGAAACTTATTTTAGTCTTGACTGTTTTGCTTTTGCTATTTGTACAGAGAATGAATAGCATCGAGCTTTGGTGACATATTTATTTTTTTTTAAGTGCTTATTTTTTTGTCTTAGATTTTTATTTTCTAATTCTAACATGTCAATAGTGCAACCGTGTTTATAAAAACTAGTATCAAGAAATTCACGTGCCTTTTTTTGTAAATATATAGAAATTATCTCTTCTTTATGATTTCCTCGAGGATAGGTCATAGTTTAAAGAAGATTTAATGCATCACATACTTGTTAATCAGGTAAATTACAAACACGTATAAATATGTCATTATGTTTTCTTTGAATATAGATATTTATTTTTCGGGATTTAACTATTTTTCTTATCTTAGAATTAAAGTCATCATCGTCTAGTTGATTGAATGTTAGAATTAGTTGATCAAACAACTCTTTTTGAACACAAATATTTATTTCTCGAGATTCGAAGATATTTTTCATCCTAGAAATGAAGTCATTATCATTTAGTTGAGCAAATGTTGGAATTAGTTGATCAAGCAACTCTTTTTGGACACAAGTATTTATTTCTCGAGATTCAAAGATATTTTTCATCCTAGAAATGAAGTCGTCATCATTTAGATGAGCGAATATTAGAATTAGATGATCAAGAAAATTTTTTTGATCATTAAAATTCATTTCTCGAGATTCAGTAATTTTTTTTATTATAGAACTAAAATTGTCATCATTTAATTGCATAAATGTTGGAATCAAATAATTAAGTACCATTAGGGGATTATTTTTAATATTCTTAAATATTTCCACTTGTTCACATACTCACGACTCTTGACTATTTTTAAGTTGTTTCTTTCGTGAATTTAATCGACCTATTATGATGGTTCAATTACAATTTCAATATGATGGGAATTCAAGAAATAGTTCTTGGCGTTTAGGATTAATGAATTTTATTGAAGATAGCAAGTAATTTATTATTTATCTACCAAGCTTTTTATCTATAATACGAACTTATGTCCTTTTATAACACTTCGCAAAATCATAGAAATTATAGAAATTATAGAAATCATGAATTAGAAGTTGCAATTGATAATTAAAAGACAAGAGTAACATAATTGGGTTTAGAGTATTGTAATTATTGTTTGTTTTGATATTACACTTTTTATTACAGTACAGTAAAACCTCTTTAAGCGCACACTTTTGGGACCAAATTTTAACAAAAAATAATAAGAAAAGATGCATTTATAGAGATCATATATATAGTCTAGCCAGAATTTGAACATGCATTCAACTTAGAATATGCAAAGGTAAAAATTGTATTTTTAATGATATGTTTAATAATGTTTATTAAGATATATAATATTCAACTCAACTAACAATAACAATATTCTACATACCTTGAAGATTTTATTAAATAGCCAAAAGTTGTTGTTAGATTAATACAGTAAAACCACCATAAGTGCACGCTCTCAAGACCAAATTTTAACAATGTGCACTTAAAGAACAACAAGAAAAAAGTGCATTTATAAAGATCATATATATAGTCAGGCCAGAATTTAAGTATGTATTTAGAGAGGGCGTGCATTTATAGAGGGTGCACTTATGAAGGTTTACTGTATATTTAAATTTACATTCACATTATTTGTAGTAATAACGCATTTTTTTTTTATAATAAACCATTTAATTACTTGAAAAATATGTGGGGTCTTAATATATTCATGATAAACAACAAGGAAAAGCAAGCCTGTATTATTTAAATTCTACAGTAAAACCTCTATAAGTGCACGCTCCCGAGACCAAATTTTAACAATGTGCACAACAAGAAAAAGTGCATTTATATAGATCATATATATAATCAGGCCAGAATTTGAGCGTGCATTTATAGAGGGTACACTTATAAAGGTTTTACTGTATGTTTTAATAAATTGATACAATTATCATTATTTTATATAATAATTTACTGAGAATTGCTTTATTATGAATTGGTTCTATTTGCATACTTTAAAGTTATAGACACTAGGTGAACTTTTTATTTAATCAAATTTGAAAAGATCTAAGAATACCCTTCGATTCTTAATGATTTAACAGTTTATTATAAAAAAAATGCATAAATGAGTTGAATACAATTGTAATATAAAAATCCTTATATAAGATTTTTATGCAACTTTATTAGAGATTATTATGAAATTATACCCCTATCCATATAATTATTCTAATACACGATTATTGAAAAGCTAATCGTAATACAAATTTGGAAAATGCGTCAATAGGCCCATAACTTAAATCTTTTTAACATATCGATACGCATTAATGGCTCTCTAAATAGAATATATAAATCCAAAAGAATGCTA